GAATCTGATCATTGTAGGGTAAGGTAGTAGGTACAAATAAGTAACTCTTAATTGAAGAAACCATAATTTATTAACCACTCGTGTTGGGGATACTTCCAGTTTCTTGATGGTTCTACTGACCGATCTAAGGTCTTAAGAAACTAGGAAAGCTCTACCGTCAGTGTACTTAATGGCTGTGAATATCAACTCATAGCTTTATACAGATGGATATTTGCTTTTTTAACCCAACTCTTTAACATATTAACATGTCATCAGTTTTCTTTTTGCTACCATCTCTCATACTCTACTGTCATCCTTTTCATCTACCTTCTCCCTAGTTATACTATTCCCAGGTATTCAGCAGCCATCTAAAAGGTCTCCTTTGCACCAGAAACTGCTTTCTTTACCTCTTCATTCACTATAAAATAGAGTGAAAGATCATTTTTAAGGTGTTTTCTGGTTCTAACACTCTATGATTTGTCAATTATATTTCTCATCAATTCAGCCACAAAAACTCATCTTTGATCACAAATTAAGTTTGAAAACTCTCATCTGAGGACAGTAGAACTCAAATAAAGAAGTAATGTTTGTGTACCTTTTAAAGAGCTAGATGTATCAAGAATGTAGAACGTGGGCAAAATGTAGATGTATGTAGCTATACATGATTTTTTTAGTTTTCCTGAGGTTTGGGAAATAGGAAATGGAAGAAAAATAATTTTAAAGCTGTTGGGAAATTTGTTCGATGTATTTTCTTTTCCAGCAAACTTAAAATTACAGGGTGGGGCAAAAATAGATCTACAGTTGTGAGTGTGAGAAACAGTTTATTCTTGCATTATTAATTAATTAATGTATTTTCATACAAACAACTGTAAACCTACTTTTGCCCCACCATATAGGGTGGAAATTGACTCATTACAAGAGAATGGGGGAAATTTAGAGGTTCGTTTTATTTATTTTTTAATCTATATTTTATTGATTATGCTATTACAGTTGTTCCGTTTTTTTTCTCCCCTTTATTCCCCTACTCCCTGCACCCTCCCACCACAGCAGCACCCCCACCCCCTTAGTTCATGTCCATGGGGCATACATGTAAGTTCTTTTTTTATTATTAAAGATTTTTATGTATTTATCTTTAGAGGGGAAGGGAAGGAGAGAGGAGGAGAAACATCAATGTGTGGTTTCCTTTCGTGTGTCCCGTGCTGGGAACTGGCCTGCAGGGAACCAGCCTGCAACCCAGGCATGTGCCCTGACTGGGAATCGAACTGTGATTGTCTGGTTCGCAGGCCCACGCTCAATCCACTGAGCTACACCAGCCAGGGCTAACATATAAGTTCTTTGGCTTCTACATTTCCTGTACTATTCTTAACCTCCCCCTGTCTATTTTGTACCTACCAATTATGCTTCTTATTCCCTGTACCTTTTGCCCCATTCTCCCCCCCCCTTCCCCACTGATAACCCTCCATGTGATCTCCATTTCTCTGATTCTATTCCTGTTTTAGTTGTTTGCTCAGTTTTGGGGGATATTTTTTGTTTTGTTTTTGGTTCAGTTGTTGATAGTTGTGAGTTGTTATCATTTTACTGTTCATAGTTTTTGATCTCCTGTTTCTTAGGTAAGTCCCTTTATCATTTCATATAATAAGGGCTTGGTAATAATGAACTCCTTTAACTTGACCTTATCTGGGAAGCACTTTATCTGTCCTTCCCTCCTAAACAATAGCTTTGCTAGAGAGTAATCTTGGATGTTGGTCCTTGCCTTTCATGACTTGGAATACTTCTTTCCAGCTCCTTCTTGCCTGTAAGATTTCTTTAAAGAAATCAGCTGATGGTCTTATGGGAACTCCTTTTTAGGTAACTGTCTCCTTTTCTCTTGCTGCTTTTAAGATTCTCTCCTGATCTTTAATCTTGGGTAATGTAATTATGATATGCCTTGGCATGTGCTTCCTTGGGTCCAACTTTTTCGGGACTCTCTGAGCTTCCTGGACTTCCTGGATGTATATTTTCTTTGCCAGATTGGGGAAGTTCTTCATTATATTTCCAAAGAAGTTTTCAATTTCTTGCTCTTTCTTTTCTCCTTCTTGCACCACTATGATTCGGATGTTGGAACATTTAAAGTTGTCCTGGAGCTTCCTTGGCCTCTCCTCATTTTTTAAAATTCTTGCTGCTGCTTTCTGTTCTGGTTGAATGTTTATTTCTTCCTCCTCCTCCAAATTGTTGGTTTGAGTCCTGGTTTTCTTCCCTTCACTGTTGGTTCCCTGCATATTTTTCTTTATTTCACTTGTCATAGCTTCACTTTTTCTACTTTGCAACCATACTCAGCCATTTCTGTGAACATTTGATTACCACTGTTTTGAATTGTGTATCTGATAGGTTGCTATCTCTTCGTTGCTTAGTTCTTTTTCTGGAGTTTTGATCTATTCTTTCATTTGTGCCATGTTTCTTTGTCTCAGCACAGCTGTTAGGTTGTAAGGGGCAGAACCTTAGATATTCACCAGGTGGAGGCAACTCATGTTGCTGTGTAGTGGTGCACTTTGTGTACATTCTAGGCACCCATGGGTCTCCAGCAAACTCTGCTGTGATGCTAGAAGTTTTCCCCACCACCACAATCCACACTGATTTACAGCCAGAGGTTTTGAGGCTTAATTTTCTTACACTGAAACCCTTGGTTGTGCAGTCTGTCTCACTCCCCAGTTCCTCCCAGTTTATCTGTACACAAATGTGGGACTGCCAGCTGTCATTTCGCCCACCCAGTCCTCCAGCTGTCACCTTGCCATGCGTCTATTATACCCTGGTGCCTGTTTCTGCCTCTCCTTTCCATCTGGACGAATGTTTATTCTTTAACTCTTTGGTTGTTGGACTTCCATACAGTTTGTTTTTATAGCAATTCTAGGGGTTTTTTTGTTTGTTCTTAAATTTGTTGTCCTTCTTTGGTTGTGTGAGAAGGCAAGATGTATCTTCTTACACCTCCGTCTTGGCCAGAAGTAACCTATAGGTGTTCATTTTAATCCATATTCGATTGGGAGATTTGCCAGGCATGAAGTTCCATAGATGTCTAAACTTGTTATTCCAGAAAAGGAAAATATTATTTAATAACTTATGCAGAAAGGTAGATGAAAGCCAAGTAAGAATCATATGTTTGGTTGATGCTAATTCTGAAATCTTTGAAGATGTAAGCGAAGTCATCGTCTTTCACATCGTCGTAAGGTACCCAAGGAAAATGTTAAAACCAACCATGCAAACATTTGTCCATGCAACATTTCATAGACACAGAACTTCATACTCAGTTTTATTCCTAGAAGTAGAGGGATAATCACAAAAGAATCCCAGAATGCATATTTTTCTGTTCATTTGGTAAGTTTGGTTTAGATTTTTATAACTTCTGTTGAGAGAGAGATTTTTCTTTTTTATTGCTGACACCAAATCAGTGTCCTAAAATTCAGTCCAAATTCTGACACTAGCCAGAGTTTAACGTCAGACTCCACAGGTTAAAGGGCTCAGTCTCACAAGGTGTCCCTAACTTCAGATGTTAGTTACAAATACTGAGTCTTCAGGTTACCTGTACTTCTGTCCAACTTGGAGGGGAGGAGGGTCAGGGTCTATGAGTATATGATTGTTCAGAAAGTGGGTTTTTATTATATTATTTTTTTAATTTACCAGATTACCTTTTCTCTTCTTTCTTTCTTACCCTCTGATTATGTAACTACTTCTAGTTAGAAGTTAGTAGAGAGGGCAAGGCAGTGTTTTCTTCTGAATGTTTTGTCGTTGAATATAAATTATTTCCTCTTTCCTACCATCTTTTCTTCCACCCTACCTACACTATTTTTTAAAGCTGCTACTGTGTACCAGAGTATACAAGCCCTCACAGAGTTTTCCTTCAACATACCTTTTTTTCTAGAAAATGACATCTGAATTTTCACATGTGATGAGATGAATCTTAAATCTTGAAATGTGAAGAGGGACAATTGTGTCAATCTTTTATATGATAAACACTGAATTAGAGTCCTACCTCATTTAGCATAACTGTAGAACCTTTTGGATAGTTTTTAGTAACTCAGTTTTAGTAGTTAGAGTCATGACATATGGATGTTTAACTAATGAAGCCAATTTTTTCCATCTCATTATTCTATAGCATGAACAGCATTTTTTCTTTAGTGGTTCTGATAAGCTGAATTTGAACTACGTACTTCATTAAGGAATAAGGAGTGTTATTAGCACTTTATTACAAAAATCACTTGACCTTATAGTCTTTAATATTGATTATATATGTTGAAGATCTTTAGTTGTTGTTTTTTTAAATTATAAAACTTGTCATAAAAAAAAACCCAGTAATATAGATCTTGCTGGTATGCCTTAGTAGGTTCAATGCCGGCCTGAAAACCAAAGGGTTGCAAGTTCAATTCCCAGTCAGGATACATGCCTGGGTTGTGGGCCAGGTTCCTAGTAGATGACATGGGAAAGGCAACCACACATTGATGTTTCTTTCCCTCTCTTTCTCCCTTCTTTTTCCTCTCTCTAAAAATAAAATAAAATCTTTAAAAAACAGACAGTAATATGTTATGCACTATAATTTTTATTAACTGAAAAATTGCATGTTTTTTCCTACCATTTGTGATTCATTAATTTTTGTGTTGAATTTTATGTTCCTTATATGAAAAGTAGAAAACAAATATTCTTTGAAAATTTTCTATTTAAAATAACTTAAATTTTTAAAATTTTGAGTAAAATGTGGTATTTTGACTGGGGTAGAGAGGAGATCATGTTTATACTATTTAAAACCAGCCTTCATAAAATAATGCCATATTGTTGGATGAATTAACACTATTTTTTTCCCTATGGAGAGCTGCTAGAAATAAGACAGTGGCTTTATAACTTTTAACTATTTTAATCAGTATAAACTAATGTTTGTTTTAATAAACAAAAAATGTTATTTTAAAAATTTCTCATGCAGGAAAGAAAAACAGTTGATTAGTCCAATATATATTTGGATTTACATTAAATACTTTTTATTATTCATTCCAAAACAGACACTCCTTGAATATGCAGAGAAATGGAAAACTTCAGAAGATCCCTTACCTTTATTGGAGGTATACACAGTGGCTATCCAAAGTTATGTTAAAGCCCGACCTTATCTTACCTCTGAATGTGAAAATGTAGCATTGGTTCTGGAGCGCTTGGCATTGTGAGTAGACCTTTGAGTTAAATAAAAAAATTAGATTTAGCTTTTTTTGTTTTACCTTTATATCTCAGCTCTTGTGATAGTTTACTTTTAAACTGATTAGTTATGGGAAGTCTACGGATATTATATAGAATTACTCATTTTGTTTTACTTCAAATTTTAATAATTATTTGTATCCTTACCAACTTTTTGTTTTTTAGAAGCTGTGTTGAGCTTTTATTGTGCCTGCCTGTTGAGTTATCAAATAAACAGTGGGAACAATTTCAGACACTGGTGCAGGTAAGAATATTTGCCTATTGCAATATAGATATATTTTAGATCAGTTTTATTTATTCTTAATAAATTATTGGGTTCAACTTTAAAACATCTATGTAGTGAGAAACATTAATTGCTCTTGTTATTAGCACTAGTATCTTGCATATAGTAGGTACCCAATAAATGTTTCCTAAATGAATATATATTTAGTTTGGTTGAATGTGCACTGTTCTTTAAGATTGTATAATTAGGAGACTGCCAGAGCAGTCAGGGAACGTAAAAGAAAATATCCTCATTTGTATTTAGAAACAGTTTAGCTAATGCTAAAACTCTGTAATATGCTGTATGAGAATTTAATGTATCTCATTTAATTCTTACAAAAACTTTGTGGGCATAGTTATGTTTTTCCCATTTTAAAGGTGAGGAAACTGAGGCTCATACTCTAAAATATTTATCTGCCTGTACTTATACAGCTTATACCAAGAATAGTTATTTGAACTCAGGTTCTTTATTCCAAAGCAAATGCTTTTTTTCTTAAAGCTGAAAACACATGCGTTTTCTCTTTTATTATTTTATTCTATTTATATGAAGTACTATACAATTCTGCATTTAGTTGTTTTGGAACATTTTCAAGCACATTCAATTTTGTTTCAAGCACTAGATTGTGCTGGGTTTTATTATAGAATCAAAATTTTCATTAATTGGTTAAAAAGAGTGTTCCTACTAGCCAGTTTTAAAAAGTATAGTTGTCTTTTTCTCTAGCCAGAATTCTCAAAATAGCCTTTGGCCTTATGTTTTTCTGCAGGAGATATGTTACAGAGAGTTAGTCTCAAATTTTAGAAGCATGTGAAATAAACTGTAGTTAGAGAAGTCAGTTTTCCTATTTAATATTAAACATTAAAATTTATATCAAGTATAAAATTCTCATGAAAGTAGGATTCTGTATCTTAATACCATAGGATTCTATTACGTCTTACACATAATAGGTACTTAAAATTGTTGAAACAAAAGTGTCTTGTCACATTGCAGATAACTTTTTGATTATGCAATTTCTACTTCAGCATATCAGTACCTTGTGTCTTGGGTTTTTTCCTAGAATGTTTATTTTTAGGTAAATAATTCAGACAGTCTACCACAGAATTAAATAAGTTGTTTATATATAAATATAATACTGATTCCATTATGCTATTTGTTTGTTTGTTTTTGGTCAGCCTAAGATATACTTTTAAACTTTTCCTTTTTAAAATAATAGTACTAGTTGATACTTTCATAAAAGAGTTCATGAGAAGGAAATAACTCTTTAAATTCCTCTATGGTAGCTTTCAGCAATTGCTCAAAGAAAATCTCTTAAAGCACTTGAAATCATGGCAGTGGGAGTTTTTATTGTATTGAGGAACAGATGTTTTGCAAAAACATAGCTTGGAATTTTAAGAGTTTCCACAATACTGCTCTTATTTTGGAGCTTCCTTGGGGTTATTTTATACCTGCTTGACAACATTTGTTTCATTTTGCCTCTGTGTTAACTGTTTAAACATTTCTTTACTCCACTAGAGGATAAGTCCCATAATCACAGAGACTAGTTCTCTTCCCCCAGTACTTCTCTGGTACTTTGCCCATAGAAATTCTCAGTAAACATTTTCTGAATTGAATAAAAACTATTGGTCCAAGATCCTTTGTGTCCTGAAGAATAAGCCAATTACATGAACATTTGGGAAAAAAAGTAGTAAGCAAGGTTCATGTCAGCTGTAACAGAATTTTGCTAAGAATATGTAGTGAGTAAATGAAAAATTATGCATGTAATGTTTTTTTCCATGAGTCTCTTACTGGAATATGTGTAAGTGGTCACATGGGCCTTGATGCAGATCTGTCATTTATTAAGAATACAAATTTGGGGTTTTTTTTGTGTGTGTTTTTGTTTTTTGTTGTTGTTGTTTTTACTAACACAGGATGTAAAACGAGTAAGGTCTTTTATGATATAGATATTTTTATAGCTTCTTTGAGAAATAGCTTTGCTCTTGGTTTAGATTTGGGGGGAAAAATAACATGGACTTATTTATAAAGCTACACTGTATTTATTTAAACTTTATAATTGATGTAATGCTTATCCTTGAGATTTTACTTTAAAAATCAGAAGTAGAGGAATTTAGCACTTTGTAATATGACATGGAAATTTTAAGATAAAAGTCTTATTTTTCAAAAGTTTAGTATTATATTTAAAGCCTGATAAGCTTGCTTTTAAAAATCTGTTGTAATTCTTTGGATGTTTATTTAATATTTATAGGTAGCTCATGAAAAGCTGATGGAGAATGGCAGCTGTGAATTGCATTTTTTAGCTACTCTAGCTCAAGAGACTGGGGTGTGGAAAAACCCGGTACTGTGCACTATTCTTTCCCAGGAACCCTTGGATAAGGATAAAGGTAAATTTTCTAGAGAGAGAGAAAGAAAGAGAGAAAAGATTAGACCAGAAAAAATAAGTACTTAAAATTGTTTCGATGTGGTTCATCTCAAGATATCCCAAACAAGGACCATTTGATTGAGTTTTATTTGAGGTGCTTGAAACCCTTCATTTTTATTTATTTTTGGGGAAAGATGTATTTATAGGATTTTACAGTCTTAACATTACAGAGAAACTACATTTCCCCCCCATCTTTTTAATAGAGGAATTCTCTCTGCAACATCCTGACAGGTGGCAGTCTGACTTATATTTGATAACTAACTGACTTGACAGATGGAGATGCAGAAATAGGGTAGTTAAATGCTTTTCTTCAAAATAGAATAAGAAATTAATGTTAGAACTCTCAAGTCTCTTTTTTTTTTTTTTTTTTTTTTTTTTTTTTTTTTAAATTTATTTATTTTTTTGCATTGATTATGCTGTTACAGTTGTTCTATTCCCCCCTTCATTCCCCTCCATCCTGCCCCCCCAACCCCACCATTACCCCCCTTTAGTTTATGTCCATGTGTCTCAAGCCCTTTAGGTTCTATATTTCCCATACTATTCTTGCCCCCACCCATCTATTTTCTATCTACTGTCTATGCTACTTGTTTTCTGTACCTTCTCCCCCCATCTCCTCCTCCCACTCCCCTGTTGCTAACCCTCCTTGAGATCTTCATTTCTATGTTTCCACTCCTGATCTAGCTGTCCTGTTAGTTTGCTTTCGTTTTAGGTGTGGTTGTTAATAACTGTGAGTTTGTTGTCCTTTCACTGTTCATGTTTCTTTAACTTCTTTTTCTTAGATAAGTCCCTTTAACATTTCATATAATAAGGGCTTGGTGATGATGAACTCCTTGAATTTGGTCTTATCTGAGAAGCACCTTATCTGTCCTTCCATTCTAAATGAAAGTTTTGCTGGGTAGAGCAATCTTGGTTGTAGGTCTTTAGATTTCATGACTTGGAATATTTCTTTCCAGCCCCTTCTTGCCTGTAAGGTCTCTTTTGAGAAATCAGCTGACAGTCTGATGGGAACTCCTTTGTAGGTGACTGTCCCCTTATCTCTTGCTGCTTCTAGGATTCTCTCCTTCATTTTAATTTTGGCTAATGTAATTATGATGTGTCTTGGTGTGTTTCTTCTTGGGTCCAACTTCTTTGGGACTCTCTGGGCTTCTTGGATTTCTTGGAAGTCTATTTCCTTTGCCAGATTGGGGAAATTTTCTTTTATTATTTGTTCATATAGTTTTTCCACTGGTGGTTGTGTCTTTCCCCCTTCTGGTACCCCTATAATTCGGATATTGGAGCGTTTAAAGATGTCCTGGAGGTTCCTAAGCTTCTCCTCATTTTTCTGAATTCTTATTTCTTCATTTCTTTCTGTTTGATCATTTTTTTCTTCCTTCTGGTTCACTCCATTGATTTGAGTCCCAGTTTCCTTTTCATCTCTATGGGTTTCCTGTGGAATTCCATTCATTTCCCTTAATTTAGCCTTCATATGTTTCTCTAATTTGTGGGTATAATCCACCAGATCTGTGAGGAAGCTGATGACCAGTGTTTTAAACTGTGCGTCTGAGAGTTTTGCTATTTCTTCGTCATTTAGATTTATCTCTGGGGCTTTGAGTTCTCCCTGCGACATTTTTGGTCTGTTCTGGCCCTTTAAGTGGGAAAAGCGGCGCCTTGGAGTCCCAGGTCGCTGGGTTGTGAGGCTGTATGTGGGGGCGTGGTCAGAGCGGGGAAATGGCGCCGCTGCCGCCGTTCCAGTCGCTCACTCCCTCACTCCCGCGCAACCAGGCAACCACAGTCAACTCGCTGCCACCGCTCACCGGTGGGCTGCTCGGTCGCTCACTAGGTCCAATCCTGGGTTTGGAACCCGTGCGACTGGATTCGCACGTCTGGATTCCGCGCCCGGGTCCCACTGAGCCCTCCTTTGTAACTCCTCACCCGACGCCGGTTTCGCCCCTTACCGGTCGGGCTGAAGAATTTGTTGTTAGCGGACTTCCGAAAAGTTCAGTTTTCCGTGTTCTGGTTGTGTTTTCTGATGCTAATATTTAGTTGTCCCTAAACTTGGTTGTGTGAGGAGGCAAGGCACATCCACCTAAACCTCCATCTTGGCGGAAGTTCAGAACTCTCAAGTCTCTTATCTCTAAGATTAGTACTCTTTCTCAAGGAGCTTGTTGCTCAGTCTTATTTTATCCTTCTTTCTTGTTATTATATGAGCTCAGGCAATAAAGATCTCAGTTAAACTCAAACCAGCTGGTAACCTATTGGAAGTAGATGGCTAAAACACTGATAAGTGTTGAGAGTTCAAAAACTATATACCATAATGAAAAGCATAGTTGTCATCTTTGGTCCTTTTCTTGAGATCATTTTGGAAAGTGCCCAGCTTTCATTCTAACCTTTCCCAAGGTTAAATTAGAGAATTAAACAAGTTGGCTCTGTTGTTTAATTACTGCTTTTCCTGTTGATTGATGGCAAACTCTATGTATTTTACAGTGTGACAGCAAATTTCGAAGGCTCTGAGAATGAAGTATAAAGCTTGTTGCTCATGAGCTCTTCTGATACTTGGATATTTACTAAAAGGCTTCCCAGCTAATCTCCAAATTTCTCTTCAAGCCAGTTGTTCCTACGTGACTCCCCTTCTTTCTGTTTCTCCGTGCTTTCCCGGTTGTTCTTAGCAGTGTTATCTGTTTTCTTAATTTTTACACAAAAAATTTTTAGTGCCCCGAATTAGTTAATGTTTTCAAGATCTTAGAGAGACAGAGTAGACATTCATTATTTAAAATGATAAGAATATTTAAAAGTTGAGAATCTTCAGGTTTTTTTGCCTTTGGCATATTAGTTTTTATTTCCATTATATTGATATCATTATGTTTTTATTGTTATAATCAAATTATACTTCCTAATATTCTCAGCTTTTAAAAATAGTGGATGTGATATAGTAATAATATCAAATAACATTGTTTAGTTCAAGCAATTTGAAATATGTTTTTATATGCATGGTTTCATTTAACTATCACTATGACCCTAGGAAAAAGGTCTTGTTTTTCTATTACACATATCAGAAAATTGAGGCTCAGAAAGATTACTTGGCTTTTCTACATCACATTGCCAGTGATGTGAGGCAGAGCCAGGAATTGAAATCAACTTTTCAACCTCTCTTTTCTGGAATATGCCCTGTTGCACCTTAGCCTAATAAAAATAAAATTCCATCTAGGTTAAATAAAGAATTAACTTCTTTTTTCTGTTTTCAATTTCTGAAGAGGGTTTTTGGCAAACTTACACATTATGCTAAAGTAGGAAAATGAAATATTTACCTTAACAGCGATTTAAATTTTATTTTAAAAGAAAGTGTACTTAGTTTTCTTACTTGTTTAAAAGTGCCTAACATTGTTTCTGTTAACAAATGTCTGCCCATCTCTGTGATGCTTTATTTCTTGGTCTTCATCTGATAGAGCCAATGGAATAATTTGGACTGTGCAACCAGTAGGAGTTTCTATAATAGCAAATGGATTGTAGGTAGTCCAACTTTAGTATAACTGATAAAGCAACCAGAGAGATACTATATAATTAAAAGATTTTTTGCAGCCATAATCTTTACATGGTTCTGTATTATTTAGAATGCTTCTTTGATAGGAGTCATTTTATGTATAATCACACAAACTAGAAGAGTATAGTCATTTCCTCCTTTGAAACAGTTGTAGGGATTAACATTTACACATAACTTATTTACATTTTCAAATTTGATGGTTCTGAAAGATGGGGAACTTTTAGCTTTTTATATTATATATTCAGCCCCTTGGTTTAACTTAATCTACCAGCAAGTTTGAAGAGAAGAGCTAGAGTTCAGAGAACAATAAGTACACCTTAATAGGCATTGCTCATTAGTTAGTTTATAGTGAAACCTTTCAAGTTTGATGTAATATTTCAACAGTAGATAACCCATTTAATCTCAAATTATTTCCATTTTTGTTTGGTTTTGGTTTTGGTTGGACTAAGTTTGGTCCTACTAAAACCCAGCTAGACCAAGAAATGCTCTTTGATTTGGGGGGATTGAGAGTTGGCAGGACTCAAAATTTAAAATACTGGTTTCTCTTTTAAGATGTTAGCCTCCTAAAATTAAGGTGACTCTAATAACTAAACCAACATAATGCAGATAGATGGCTTTTGATACCACAAGAACTTTTAGGCTCATACACTGCTTGTGCCTTTTTTTAGTCATAATCTCAAGATTGGAAAGGCACTGAATGATTTTTTTTTTTTTTTACTCAATTGTAACTCCTTTCTAAAACATCACCGGTAGATAACGGGCCTTTACTTGAACACTCCTAGAGAATAGTAACTGTATAGTTCAGTCCATTCTTAACCTTCTGTTGGAAAATACTGTGAAAACTACATTCTTAGAGTTTACATCTTTTGGATCTAGAGTTCCCCTAAAGCCATATCAAACAGTGTAAATCTGTCTTCCCCACCATATCAATCAAGATATTTAAAGATTACCATCTTGTCAATGCTTAGTCATCTTTTCTTCTGTAGACTAAATGCCATCTGTTAAGGCTTTTACGTCTACAATCATGCTACCTAATTTTTTAGTGCATTTTGTTGGTTGTGGTTCTCTTTAATGTATAATTCTCAGAACTTACTGTGTACCCAAAATATGAATTAGCCAGCTTTGAGGACACTAGTACTCTCCCCTTCATCTAAAAGTGTATACTTATGACTTAAGATGACATTGCCTTTTTTGGGTAGCCAATCTTTCTCACAACTCAATGAGGTCATTAAAACCACACACAAAAAATATTTTTAAATGCTACTATCAAATTATTTATATTTTTATACTTTGTCTTTCAGTATTTTTTTTTGTCTGTTGAATTTTACTCTTTAATAAGATTTATTTTGTCTCTGTAATTGTCAAAATCCTTTTAAATCTTCATTTTGTTTTTCAAGGTTTGACTTGTTAGCATACATTCTTTTAGCATCGAGGTCCTTGATAAT